TTCTTCGGATTAATCAAAAACTTCAACAAATTTCGGGTGGAAAAGGTGACCGCTCAAAAATAAATTAATACCTAACAGCTCAAGATTAAAACTCCATATTAAGACATGAGGTTATTACACCTTATATATTGTGGAAATATAGAGCCATGATTTGCTTAATAAAGTGTTCAAATCGGATCGCCGATTCAGAAAATATTCACAGTCAAAAGGGAATATTTAATTTCTTAAATGTAGACCCTAATGTAAACTCAAATAATAAAGACATCATCGGTTAAAGATGGACAGATCGATAGATGTAACATTTGTTAAAAATTACAGATGATCTGATTCACAGAACAAGATAACATCTACAAATAATACATGGATAATAATAGGTTTGAACCATTTTGAGCAATATGTTTTTTTTCCTCACTAGTGGCATCCAGGCTTTATTAACTGTGCTATTATTTATTTATTAGAACTAACTACAGGCAATAACGTTATATTGCTCGAGAAAAAACTACTTTGACGGCATTCAATAGTAAACAAATTCTTCCGGCGTCCTACGCAAAGGACACCGGCAATAATGGATTTTCCACCGCATTTTTTTCCAATTATTAATCGTTTCTTTTTTTTTGGTCAGCGTTTTTCATTACTATCGAGTTGGTTACGCAAACGGGACCGTAAGCAACCCTATTCCATTACTTATTAATGAGACGATTATCTAGGGGATATAGGGAAACTCTATTTACAATTTAGTCTCACGCAAAGCCGTATTTATTGAAGCGAATCCAAATGTCATCAAAATAAATAATGTAGAACTGAAAAGCACTTGCTGGGGTGAATTGGTGAATTACCCCTGGAAAATATTTGAAAAAATTAACATTTTCCTGCAGTTTAATGCGAAAGTCGGTAACATTTGCCCACCGCAGGCCCCAGATTTCCTCGTTAGATTAAAAAAAAATCTGACACCGACAACAATGCTTTCTTTTAGCATCTTTTCGACAGCCTTAATTTCCGGCCATGGCTCACGTTTCAAGGGAACCGGCCCCCCATTTCTGCCCTAAAAAAACCCCCAGATGCAACTGAGTAAATATAAATCATCGTTATCTCGGAAAATGCTGCACAATGATGACGTTGTGCTGCCATAATGTGTGTCTGAGGTATTGGTTTTTTAGGTATTATTCCGATCAGAAAAGGGCGAGCTTGAAAACCGCATTGTTATTTGTTAGGTACACAAACCACCCCTCGTAATTGAACAAGGCGAGGGTGATGTGTGTTTTTTTTTATTTGAGCGTTAATAAATGGAGATTTGTGATTGAGCAGGATGTGTCAATTTTGTTTTACGCATTGTATATACACACATACGAGGGGAAATTAGATTCGATTTCAAAACCAACAAGTCTAAGCAGCTACCTCCAATAAGAGAAGCGTGGATTATTGACGAAAAGAGCTCGCGCCATTTGCTCAAGATGTCTTTTTGTTTTCCAAATGCCTCAGGTTTAAATGTTTTTTACCGCGATTAAAGTGCGTCAATCAAATTTGAATAAACAGAACAGTTAAAAAATAGTCAACTTTCTAAACAAACAGGCAACCTGAATGGACTGGCATATTTCACCTGTTTTAAACAGGTAGGTGATTAAAGCGAAACCAGATTAAGCCTAATCAACGGCGCTTTAAATAAACATGTCACCGTTTCTCTGAACATAGCCTTAGCATATAGGGTAAAAATAACCAGCGCAAAAAGTAAATTACCAGGCTAAAGGAACAAGGATATTTTTAACGGCAAGGAAATAAAAACTAAAAATACACCGTGATTTATTGACTTTTTGTTCACGTACTATGTGTTTGTAAAACAATTTAATGAAATATTAATTTTATGGCAGGCCGACAGACTGCCGTGCTTAGCCTGGCCTATGAAAAATAATAGGCCATGTAAGCACCCGTGTGGTATGAACGAAACTTATTGAACCGGCGATTTTTCCTAGGCATTGGTGGCGAAAACTGCCACTTCTATTTCGAGGGAAACTTCAAAAAAACTCGTTTTAATGCTTGTATGTTTCGTCTTGTATTAATTGGGATATTCAATTTTTTTAGCACAGTTTTATGGGATTTTCCGGTTATTATCTTTGTCATTGGTTGTTGGGACGTAAACTGCTTAAAATTTGGTGGTGTTGGGCAAAAACCATTTGATGGGCTTTGCTGTGTTTCCCAAATTAAATCCTAAAATCGTTTACTTCAAATCTTTCCATCTAAGAATTACCCACCACTGTTTAATCTCGACTTCTGGTTCGAACGCGAAATGCGTGTTGGTCCGACATCAGATAAGTTTGATACATGAGTTTTTCATATCTTTCGACAGACTTAAATAAATATTCTTTATTTCATGCCCGGAATAGACGAAACACACTTCATTACCTGCCACAATTACCTAATTAAACGGAGGTGTTTCACCCTTGTTCCAGTTCACTACCAGCTTTATAATTGTGTTGTTCACATTCGTAATTGTGGCAATTAGTTCTTGGAAAACTAAATGCACATGTCACAATTTTCGTCCAATTTATGATTCAAACTGCTGTTTACATACGTAGCTAATGTATTGTTAATGGCCATTAAAAGTGGATGATACATTGTAACATGTGAGAAAGGGGCTCATAGACTTGCCACAGAGCTTGGCAACAAAAACCAAAAGCCAGCAAAACATGAGTGTTAATTTGAAAAAATCGAATTTGTTCAGATCAAAGTTCACGAAGTTAGCAAAAAGCAGGATTTAGTGGGATTTTAATTAAATTTTCAGGGTGTTTGGACTCCAGTGGTTCCTATATAATTTAGACATTTTGAGTTCTTACTGAATGTAGTTGAGAAGTTAGAAATTTTTATCTGAAATACTTCAGTGGCCTAAAACCGTCCATGTTCAGGCTAAAGTTCACGAAGGTGGCAAAAATCGGGATTTATTGTAATTTTAATGCAATTTTCAGTGTTTGGACTCCAGTTTTTACCTGATTTAGTTAAGAAGTTAAAATTTCTTATCTAAAAGACTGCAGTAGCGCAAAACCGTCCATGTTCAGCCAATATTTGCAATTTATTATCGCGGTTTATTGCCTAGTTATTGTGAGCCAAAAATATCGATTATTTCGGATCAAAAACTTCTCGAGTGTTTTTCAATCTGCTCAAGGCATTCAGCCCTTTAAAGTTTTATTAAAAACTTGAATTATTCGAAGAAATTTTGTGAGGTTTCAAAAAAAACACTGTTATGAAATGTTTGGTCAAAAATTAATATTTTACATCCGTGTTTTTTGAGCTCAATGAATTGTTTCGCACTTGAGAAACTCCCCTATATATACATGAAGTGTTTTAATTTATAATAAAAAAGATATCGTCTGTTAAAGACCGTAACCGTTCAAAAATCTATTAAAATGAGCAAAAAATGTCGATTATTTCGGATCTGAATCTTCAATCGTGTGTTTCAATGTGCTCGGACAATTCCTTGCTTTTTTGCGTGAAATTGATGAATTATTCAAGGAAATTTGGGATATTTGATATTTTTCTCAAAAAATCGACATCACCCTTGTGAAATTTTTGGTAGAAATTAATCCGTTAAAGACCGTAACCGTTCAAAAATCTATTGAGCAAAAAATGTCGATTATTTCGGATCTGAAGCTTCTAACATGTTTTTCAATGTGTCAGTCGGATTATTCGCTTGTTTTGCTTGAAAATGATGAATCGTTCGCAAAAATTTGGGATTTGAAATTTTTCGAAAAAAATTAAAATTTTATATGCCTGTTTTTTGAGCTTAATCGATCGTTCCCAACTGACAAACCTCCTTAATATGCATATGTAAAGTGTTTGTTTCTATAATAAGAACGATATTGTCGACTAACGAACCCGACAGCTCAAAAACCGCATAAAATTAGTTAAAAAGTTGGGCAATGGACAATGTCTGAGAAAATGGACAACAAATCTTAATTATATCGGATTTAAAGCTTCTAGCTTTTTTCCAATGAGCTTTTTGCGTTCTTCGCTGAATTCTGTTGAAAATGATCAAGAACTGGACACGTTTTGAGAATTTTTTTTACGTTGACTCACCCTTTCTGAGATTTTCGGTCCAAAATCCAAAATGTTAAAAACCTCCCCTATATGCATATATGCAGCGTTTGAATTTAGAATAAGAAAGACTTTGCCGGTTAAAACTACTCAAAAATTACCCAAAAATATGGATTATTTCGGATCTGAGCCTTCTAAAGTGTTTTTCAATGTTTTGTGAAAAGGATGAATGATCAAAAAAATTTGAGAGATTGAAAATTTTACAAAAAAATATCGACCTCCACCTTTAGGAAATTTTTGGTCAAAAATGAAAATTCTACATTCGTGTTTTTTTGACCGGAATGTATTGTTCCCACTTTGCATAAATTGGTTCAATCTCGGATAAGGACGATATCGTGGGTTAAAGATCGTAACTGCTCAAAAACAGTATAAAGCAAGCTAAACAAGTTCTCTTCTCAAGCAAACTGTAACTTGTAACTGACATGGAAACACTTCTTTTACAAACAAAAATCACAGATAAACACTTTCGGGACCGGCTTCAGACCTATTAGTTCTCATCATCCTGGCTTGCTGCTGGTCGTTTCTAAACGGTTTCATCAAAATCATCCCACTATTTGCCAGCTAAAAAATCGGGGCATAAAGAGATTTCAAAATCAACAAAAATCCTCAAAAGCAAACGACCATAAAGCCAGGATTTCCAAATGGCCTCGGCCATTGAAGGCAAAACTTTCAATTATGTGAGCCCCGAACGGCAACCGGAAATTTGTTGATGTAGATTTCATTTCCACTGAATAGTCTTTTTCCTTTATTACCTGGGTTTGATTACCGAAAACCTATTAAATGAATAACTGTATTTCTTCAGCCGGATCGGAAATTGCCAGGCGTTTTGTTCCCAATCAGAAATTACTTTTACGAGTTCGTCTAAAGATCGCTTGGCGTTGCGATTGTCTCCAAAGACAATTTTCTAGACGCATTGCAAAAAAATCTGTCAAACTGATTGTCCATGAAAAGCTAGCGTAATGTTGACAGTTTCCAAATTTTAATAAAATGTCTGAAAGTTTATCAAATGCCGCCGGAAAGAACAGTCAGCCACTCAACAGTAAAGAATCGAAATCAGACACTCCAACGGAGAAGCGAAATTTAACCTTCAGCCACTCGGAAAACACTCTGGAAAATCAGCGCCAAAAAACCGGCAAACAGAAACCGTTGGCCAAAGTAAAATCCTGGAGTTCCAAGGAGCATCATTCAAAAGATCAGTGCGTTAGTGTCGAACTGGACCTGGCCAGATCCTTAACCAAATTGGAAGTGGTTGTATCCAGCGAAAATCTCGGATCAAACCTGCTAAGAGCGCGCGATAGTCTGGATAACCTTCTCAAAGATGAGCAAAACATGCCCACGTCCAGTCTGGCGCGTTCCATCGTACTTCCCAAGCCAAAAAACATGCCCGAATCTCCCAAATCCTCTCCGCAATTGGGCGAGAAATTCAAAGCTTCCACCTCATCAAAAGGCCCTTTTTGGGACCCTTACGACCGACAAGGGAAAAAGAACCGAAAGGACCTGAAAAGACGCAGCAAAGGCAAAAGCACCGATCAGCGGCGGAACCAGGAGAGCAGCAAAGAATCACCACCCAGCAAACATGGAGGAAATGTGGCATCTGGTGCAGAAACTTCAGGAACCAATCAGGAATCATCCAGTATAGAGGAAGAGAGCTTTGAAAAGTACAAGTACATGACGAAAAATAGCAAATCCGTTGTCTTCACCAATGAGGTGCTGGTGGTGTATTTTAACAACGAGGACGTCGTGGGGGAGGAAAAGGAGCCGCTGAAGAAGGAGGTTGAACAGCAGACACGAAACAAGGAAATGCGGCGCGTGCATTTGAACAGAACCCAGGAGAAATACAATCTGTGCCTTTTCTAAACATTTTAAGCTACATGCGTGGGTGTCGATAAATTCGTAATTTTGTCAACTGTCTACATTTTCAGTATAATAAATTTTGAGGAACAATCGTTTTTGCAACGTTTTTCAAAAACCAAACTTTGGGGTCAGTTTCAAACAACTAAAAGCGATTAAGTTTCCACAAAATCTAGTAGGCACATGCAATCCAATTTGTCCTCACTTAATTAGGCAGGGCCTAAAACAAAGGGCGACCTTGTACAATTTCATTTCCCAGACCAAATCGCGGTGGTAATTAAATTTTCCACTCACGTCTTAACAACCCTTTAGAGACCACTTTCATATTTGTGTTAAAACCCCAATAGGAAGGGCGGCACTTAACAAACTGGCACATAAGTGGCATTTTGTTCGAGAGTTTGACAAGGTATCGTCCTTTTAGTTTCCAAACCGCTATTATTCTTCAATTAGAGGCCCCGGAAAATTGAAATTGGCTGCATCTACTCGTATCAACATCGATTGTTATAGTGGATTTTTAATAGCTAGCTTTGATTTTAAACGGTCTTTGCCACGCAGTGGAAGTGTGTGTGGTATTTTCTAGTTAACCGGTGCATGAGGGCAAATATG